TCAGACCACTGTGTAAAATTATTTAATTTCTGTGGTGCATATTGGTATATAAAGACATTTTAATACTAGAAATAAATGACCTTATAATACCACATTGTTGTTTTCCTTTAGTTGGACACTTAATGTTTCACTTTATAACTTTTTCAAGTGTTCTACAAAACAAAAACTGTACCTAACAGTACAAAGCTTCAAATGGTTTAAGTTATAAATTCTAATCAAATCTGTAATGTACATTTCTACAATGTACATTTGACATTTTAAGTAGTAAAGCTTATTGTTGAAAGAGATGTACTTGATGGTTTGTTCATAATATATACTTTTCTAGTCTTTTCTTTACATGTGATGTCTGATTTAATGTTCATGAGTGAAGTGTAGAAATGGGGAAACTTTTCTTGGGATATTTTTAAAACTATTTGGTTTTGTTGGATTAGTCTTAGATGTTTGATGGAAGAGAGAAATTTAACCAACCTTTTCTTTAAAAGACCTGGTAATTTGAAATGGTTCCGATTACCTTCAGGGCCAATATTATAGTGGTGACACTTAATCAGGAAACCAATTTGAGCTGTTACTCTTGTGTATTTGAGAGTGTGAGTTAGGTTTAGTAAGGCTGCACTATGGGTTACATGGTCAAAATTTGAAAACTCATTACTACTGGACTCAATACAAGAAAGAGTTACCACTATTGTACTTGATACAATCAGAGACTTTTGTTACAAATGCTAATAACAATCAAGAAACCATGACAACAGTGAAAATACAAGTAACAGTAGAAAATGGCCTTGCAATCCCAACTTCCTCTTTGTACCTCCTATCTAAAGGACCTGGTTTTGCAGTAACAACTAAATTTTCCAACCAAGTGTGTTTAAACACATTGTCTTCTCATGAACAGACTTTTCATTCTAATCAATGGAACCATTTTTATGAAAATAGAGAAAATACTATCCCTCTATTTACTATGAACAACAACAAAAGTAACTGTAATATACAGCAAAATATCACAAACTCAACCTCTACCAAAACCAACATTGAAATTGATTCAAACATTAATTCATTTCTGAAGTTTGTTGAACTACAAACCATGCAACTTCCAAATGTCTCAGTAAACATCGTTTTGATACCACCAGGCAACAACCTCCCCACACCAACAAAGATATTGAAACGAAAATCGCTGACGTGAGGAAATGATCAGGAATGTTTTACAAAGACATAGAAATCATCAAGCCAAGCCTAACAAAAAGCTCTTAAAAAGCTTAAAAAAGATAATACCATCATCATCAAAGAATTGGACAAATGTAAAGGTTTTGTAGTTATGAACAAATAAATTTCAAATACTTAAAAGTGACCCCACCAAAAAAATTGTGACGAAAGCTAAAAAGATTCTATGAACTTACAAAAACAAGTAACCTCCCTAAGAAGCTACTGGATGAACATAAACTCTTTAGTAGCTGCATCCCAGAATTATATGTTTTACCAAGATAGCATAAACCAGATATGGTAGTGCTACTGAAAGGCTTGTCTTGGCTTATACATACAGTTTTGGTGCTGTTACTAAATTACATTCCAGAACAGTTAAATAATACAAAGACCTACTATTGCAAATCAAGGATCTACTTCACATAGTGATGAACACAACAATACTCTTTACATTAGACATTATAGCTCTCTACTTATCTGTACAGGCAGAATTCTGGTGTGAATTCATGTCAAATCACATAAACAATTTGGAGATGTACAGAATGAAAATAGACACTTTTAGAGAAGTGTTACATTTCATCCTTCATAATGAATATTATGCCATAATATTTGTGCACACTTTTGAAACTATGGCACTTGACAAGTAGTATCAAGATATCAACAGTGGCCCTGATCTATGACTTAGATACATCAATGACGTACTTTAATCAAATTTCTAGACTTTCCAAGTTCCACAAATCCCAACATCCAATTCACTGTGAATTACTCGAATGACGTTGCCTTAAGGATCAACAATGACAATAATATACAGTTTACCTTTTTTAACAAACCAGTTAGGAAACCTCTCTTCCTTCAACTCTAATCACCTCAAAGCTTCCAAGAAAAATACAATTATTGGAGAATTAAAGAGAATTGATTGCAACTGTAGTGAAAAAAACAGTATATGCTCTGAACTAAAATCACTTCTGAGCATTGAATATCCACCTTTTTCACATCAAACAAATTTTCAAAGATTATGACTTGCAAAAATCAGCATTGCTCTTCCAACATGAAAAAAACACATAAACAAGGAGGAAAAAAAAAAATTTTCCAAAGATAACACAAAACAGATTACTTTTATAACATCTCTAATTGATGAAACTATCTTCAAGAAAATAAAAAACTATAATCAGGAAACCTGAACTCCTTATTATAGTTATAGAAAAGCCAGATACAACCCTAAAAAGCCATCTTTCAAAATC